TCAGGCAACCCCTCTAAGTTTCATAGTTGTTAGGGGCTGGAAGGGACCTTACAGTTAATCAGGTCCAGCCTCCCCTGCATTTGGGCGGGAAACTGGCAGAGTGTTCTTTACATTCAAGGGAGATCAGACCCATTAATAAGCAGGACGGCTCTGCGATGTTGAAAAAAGACTAATGGGATCATAGGTAACTAGTCTGTTTCAGGCTTCATCTCCAAGCAGAAGGTCCGTGGCAGAAAAAGGATACCAAGACCATGAACCTGCAAATCAGGAGACACAAGGTGGTAGCCTAGAGCTACATCTCTTCTCCCCTGGAAGAGTTTCCATAGAACTAGTAAAAGGCAAAATGATAAGTGTAATCCCAAATGACAGTGATTCACAGGATTTGAAGAAAGTGTTTGGTGAGGAGACCTCCACCTCCCACTGGCAGCATAAAAGGGCCTCAAATTGGAGATGGTCCCACAACTGGAATCAGAGCTGCTGTTACTGAAGGATCTGCAATCAGAGTCCACAGAGAGTCCAGTTCTGTCTGGATCACCAAGCTGCTCAGTATTGTGAATTGAACCCCAATGGAGGTCATGAGAATAGCAGGAGTCCATTGTAGTGCACTATGCCTCAGTGGAGGAACAAGTTTCACTGCAAAAGTTCTCAATCAGACCCATGATGACTAGGTAGCAAAAGGGAAGCTAAGGAGTACTTTGGGCCCTTACCCTTGCATTTACAACACACCATGGAAGTGGACAGTGCCAATCCTTGTCAGGATCCACACTGGGACACAAACAGGAGGGACGAAGAACTAGTGAAAAGAGTCTCCTTAAGGAACCCTAGAGCAGGAATTTCTAGGGCCACTGACAGACATTAAAAAGGCAGAATTCTGCATGGCAGGAGGTGCGAGTCTGATACTGAGCATCAGATCCCATCATGCCATATTGCTAGTGCAGGGGGAACCTGGGATCACAATCTCAGGCTCCCCCTGCACCAGCAATTTTCACTCCTGTGGTTGGGAGCCTTATCATCAGTTGATCAGAGTTTCCAGCCCTGGGGATGCACTGTGCATTCTCATGGCTGAAAGCTCCAATCAGTTGACGGAGCCTTGATCAGCTTCCAGTCTTTGAAGCACATGGGAGCCATTCCTTGGAGACTGGGAGCACTGTCCATATGTTCAATTAAAGGCATGATAGGAACCAGCTACAAAGTTATTACATGTTTTGTGTAATAATTTTGTCGGGTATTCCTGGTTTTATCACACCATTAACTGAATAAACCTGTAGCCACGTCACTAAAGATGACCTAACCAGTAAATTGCATCTTAGGTATACTGTGTCAAGAGTCAGCACAGCAGCTAGGTTAATTAGCCCCTAGCTAACTCTGGTTACCCAAGTCGGCTTGCCTGCCAGCAACCTATTTCCAGATGGTTCTAACTACCTGTATGGGCAAGGCTACCTGCTTAGAAGCAGCAGCCCTTTCTGCACCCAGAAAGCTAAACAGGATGGCTCTTGCCCTTTGGTTCCTAGTTCCTGTCTTCTGCCCAGGTCCCTGCTTCCTCACTGATGGTTTGTGACCCTCCCACTACCTCATGGCTGCAGTCTGAATCCCTCCTTCTGACTCCTGACCTATAGCTTGTAACTATCCAGTGGCAAGCTGCAGATGCCTGGTCATTTACTTGACATTAGATCTGTGTTCACTGGAGTAGAACTTCTGTACTATTGATGACAAGGATGTGTTGCAGAAACTGCCTAGGGAGAGAGCCCTAGCAGTCAGGCAGGAACCCCACAGGTGCAGGTTACTGTGGCAGCAGGCCTAAGGAGGGAATTAGCCTTTACCTGCAGTTGGTCAGCTGACCGGAAGAGGCAGAGCCCTGGGCACATATAAACCCCAGGGCTGGGACTAGAGAGGCAGTTCACTGCCAGCAGTCAAAGGGGAAGGAGCCTCTAGGGAGGAATTGCCCAGAGATGCTGCAGCTGCCCAATGTGCTGCACTTGGGGCTAATGGGGCTCCAGGAGCTCACCAGTTTCCCTTGCCTACAAGGTACTTAGTGCCAGGGTAGAAGTTTGATTCTTTTACAGGGGCAGAGCACACACCGAGCTTTTTGTGTTATGTTATAGCCCAGGGGCTTATATTTTGGTTGCTGTCTTATAAGACTGAAGAATTGGGCTGAGGCTATTGGGGAAGGAGGCGGCCTCATTGGGGGCCCACTATAGCGTGGGGACCCCCAGTGCCAGTGTGGGCACAGTATTTGGGGTGCACAGACCCCCAGTGCCAAGGGGCACCGAGAGAGATGGGGTTGCAGAGAGGAGAGCCTGGCGATGACTGGAGACCAAGGTGAACTAAGGCCTTGGAGAGACAACATGTGAATGCCATCTATGAGGCTTGGGGCATGGTAAAGGAGTGGTTTGGAGCCACGCATGTAGCCCATAAGGCTGAGGGTGTCCTAAGAGGCATTCATTTTGGAGCAGAACCCAAAAGGGGTCCAGGAACCCACAGGGTTCAGTGGGGTCCATCAGGACTGTGCCCAAAATACAACTTGAGGACAGCCTCCCTATTTACTATAGTACACCAAACGTGGCAGGCAAGAAAGAGGGTGCCCATTGGGCAGGAGTGACATGGTTAAGGAGCCCTAGGGGTATCATGGCCACCCCTGAGGACCCCATCCCGTGACAGGATGGTCTTCTCGAGAGGGACCATGCAGCCCTGTATCATTAGCATCCAACTTAGTCCTGCACTCCAGTTATTAGAGGGTGACCATATAGTTTACCTAGGAGATAACCTGGAAACTAGCTTTGCCCTCCTTCCTGGTGAACAACTTAAAACACTACATTTCCCAAGGATAGGGATTCCCTAATAAAAAGAGTCACTTAAAATGTTTGCCTGAAGCAGGCATAGCCTTGCTGCAGGAGGAACATAGCTACAAAGCTTGAATCCAAGTGGCCTGGAGGAAACTCTGGCAAGTCAAAGGAAAGGTCTGGCCAAAGTGTGGTGGGGGTTGGGGAAGAAAATGAAACCTCAAATATTATCTTGCTGGGATCCTATGATCCCAGCTGACTTCCTGCCCCTGGGGCAGGGGGGGCTGGACTCAATGATCCTCTGGGGTCCCTTCCAGCCCAAATGTCTATGAAAGTCTATGAAACTCACTTAGCTAGAAGAGCCACATAGGAGACTTAATGTCTCACTAAAATAAATATTGAAGACCAGGAAAAAGTGAGAACAACAACTACCACCACCCTGCTTCCTACTTCTGGAAGAAATAAGAAGAAAAAGTAGTAAAAAGAGGTGGGGAAGGTACTGAGAACAGCTTCATGTAAAACGCTGTCTGGGTTAGCCAAGAGAATATCTCATCTCAAGACTGCCTGCCCCAAGACAGATGAGAGGAACTGAGGAACTAGAATCACATATTGCCCTTTATACACTAGATCCATGCTGTATGGATACTGGAAAGACTCCAGACTTGAGCACTTGAGACATGTGAACACCCAAAGTAAAAATGTGTATGAACAAGCATTTAAAAATAAAAACTTAGGTTACATAACAATCCAATAATACCAGAGTAAAGTTAGAAAATATGCATCCTGATTTACTTCACACACAGGATTAATTATTTCACAAAGAAAAATTAAAATCAGATAAACACCCTATGCAACTGATAGTCTCTCTACAATTCAAGCACACTGCATAATATTAGAGAATGGGAAGACTCAGTAAAGAAACTCATGTATCTGATATCATGACTGAATTAAGGACTTCATAACTTACTCTGTATTCAGTACTTTTTCCATTTTAGCACCTGTGATTTCTGTAAGGTTCCTTTTTCTCTCTACCCCTTTCTGAGTGTCACAAAGCTTTTACTTTTTCTTTTATCCTTTTCTGTTTTTCCTCTATGTGATTTTGGTGACTTCATCTACTCATACAACTTCAGTTAACATCTCTAAATTGATGATTTACAGATAATGTTCTCCAGACTTGACATTTCCCGTTTTTCCTTTAGTCCTGCATCACAGCTGCTCTCCCTGACATCTTTCTGGAGGTCTTGATAAAACTTATGTTTAACATACCTAAAATTAATCTTTTTTTCTTTCTGCGTACACCCAAACATTGTTCCCTGCAACATTTATAGTTTGTTTCTACACTATACAATAAAAATCAATCCTTTCCTTCAATCTGTCTGGCCCAGTAAAATGCTCATTCATGCCCATCACCGTTTATCTTTACTACTACAACTATGCTACATCACACACACACACACACACACACTCTCACTCTCTCTTAGTGCCATCATTCTGACTAGACAAATTCAGGCATAAAATGTCATGCAAACGAGAACAGAAAGCTAAAGAAGAGATGGGTGCTTTAGAATCTAAATTAGTTTTCCCTAAATCTTTTTTCTGTTTAATTCCTGCCCTGAAAGGACCTAGCTTCTTTTCTCTTTTGACAGAATTGAACATAAAGAACTATGCAAAGTTCTATCAAAATAAAATAACTCCCTCACACACAAAATCTTATTAATAACTAAATAAAACTTAAACATGAGTTCACGAGTTCTCAAATGCTGACAAAACATTTAGCATAAAGGTAATCAAATAAAACCACAACAGTGCATAGTATTACATAATACTATATTGATAGAACTTCTGAGATCTTTGATGATCCTTGTAACTAGTCCCAACTCCTTACAGCATCACACACATAGGAATGAAAACTTTTACAAGGGATTTCCAGGTAGGTTTTCAATGTGATTTTAAAAAAGGCAATAAAGTATTCTATTATTTCAACTGTACACACCACTTGCAAATTTTATTCTGGAAAGCACATTCAAGTTTTCAATTAAAACTTCCTTTCTATTACAAATATGTATCTTGCTACTATGCATATGGAGGGGTGTCATCTGAAATGAATACCAATGAATAAAGATTAACATAATCCTTAACAAAAAAATCACCTATTCACCTATTACTTCTGCAACACTTAAAATATTCTATAGACATTTGCAAATGGTGAGTAACCTTTACCTTAATTGGTCCAACATAGCAGGAGCCCTTAATTGTTGAAATTGTTACTTGAGAGTCTTCTAACTGAGCTATTGTATCTTCAGCTGATGAAATAATCATGATAGTTGAAGCTTCAAAATAGTGAGGAGATAAATGGAAATCAGTTTTGTTCCAAAGATCTATTATTTTATTCAGCATTATTTCAAGGGTAGCTTCATTTGTAGCAGTTATTGATATTTCATTTATTTCTTTCTTGTACTGAATCATCTAAAGAGTGAGGAAAAAAACTTAATATCTAGCAAGGTAAAAAAGTAATGATACAGATGGTTTGGTAAATAACTGAAATATACATATTTCTGCAAACTATATAACATTTATATTTAATTTTCAGAAATGGAGCCTAATCAAACCTGTTTAAAGGTCAACTGTAAACAGCCCTATTTATGTATTGTGTTTTAAGAAGAGTGGAATTCTATTTCCCTTTGTGTCCAAATGGCAGCTTTCTAGCCACGTAAGTGGCATTTTTGCTACTTACACCCAGGCAACAATTTTACTTCACCTGAACTATTGCCACATAAGACTAAGCTTGCACAGTAGGTTACTCATTGGCCATGCACATATGAATGTGAAATGCAGGTGACTGCAGGTGTTAGATGGAGAATAAGGCCAGAAGCAGACATTTATCATCCAGATTTGAGGCCCTGTTTGCCTGGAGCCCAGATTCAAGACATGGACATAGAGACTGGCAGAGTTCTTCTGTTCCTCAGACCAATACCCTTTTCCTGCATATCCACGTGGGTACCAACAATACTGCTTGGAATTATACTGAGTAAGTTAGGCCTGAAGCTCTAGGTAGGAGGATTACGTTTGGAGCACAGAAAATGTTCTCATAAATCCTGCCTGTTTATGATAAAGGCTAAGGTAGAGACCATCACATCATGGAGGTTAATATGGCTAAGGTGTTGTCAACATGAAGGCTTTGGATGTTGTGGGTCCATGGCTAAATAGCCAGGATGATCTCTTTACAGAAGATGGAAAGAAGGAAGACATGCTCAACATCTATTTGCCTCAGTCTCCCCCCACTAAAAATAAGCTTCAAACCAGACAATTAATTAAAAAAATTATATAAGCAAGGCTGGGGGGTAATGATAAACAAGAAAAACCAGAGTTTTTGTCTGGTCTGAAAGAATCAAAAATCAGCAGGGCCTGATGAATTTCATCCCAGAATACTGAAGGAACTGGTAGACAGGGTCTCAAAGCACTTGCAAACAATTTTTTTTACCAAGTTATGGAAGACAAGCAAAGTACTGGAGGACTAAAAAGGAGCCAACATAGTGCCACCCTTTCAAAAAGGCAAAAAGACCCAGGGAAGTATGGACCAGTTAATCAGACTTCAATACTCAGGAGTTACTGAAGAATATTATAAAGTCCATTTGTAAGCATGTGGAAGAAGAAAATCCGATCACAAGCAGCCTGCATAAATTTGTTAAGAAATCATGCCAAACAAGTTTGATTTCTTTCTTCAACAAGACAGCTGGTTGGGAGGATGAAGGGAATGCAGTGGATAAAGGGTACTTGGATTTCAGTAAGGCTTTTGACAAAGTCTCACATGCATCTTTTCAAAAGAAATTGGAGAAACATGGACCAGACAAAGCTACTATGAGCTGGATAAACAACTGGCTTAATAGCCGTAAACAACAATTAATTATATATGGATCCATGTTGGAATGGCAGGAAGTCTCCAGTTGAGTCCCTCAGAGGTTTGTCTAGGATCCAGTGCTGTTCGACATGTTTATTAATTATTTGGATATTGGAATAGAAAGCTTTCTGCACAAATCTGCAGATGAAACTGGGAAGGCAGGAATAGAATTCATGAAGAGCTTGACACATGGAAAAACTGAGTTTCAGACAACAGGATGAAGTTTAATCAAGGCAAATGCAAGGTGATAAACCTTAGGAAGAATAATCAGAAGGACAAATACAGAATGGATGATAACTGGCTGGGTAGCAGCACTTGGGGTTGTGGGATCGCAGACTCAGCAATCTGATGCAACTTCAAAAAAGGTGAACAATTTTGGGCTGAATAAACAGGACTATAAAGTGTATAACATGGGAGGTGACTAGTACTAATCTACTCAGTCCTGGTTAAGTATTGTGTGCAGTTCTGGGTTCCACATTTTAAAAAGAGCATGCAAAGAAATTAGGGTCTCAAAGGGGGCAATATATAGTGATAAGGATTTGGAAGAAAGCCATAAAAGACAAGAGGTTGAGAGAAAAGAGCATGCTTATCTTACAGCAAAGGCAATTGAAAGGGCACATGATAGCAGCCTTTAAATATATGAAGTGCTGCCAAAAGAAAAGGAAGAACAACTTTTCTCCCTTGCTGCAGAGAGCTGGACACCTAGCAGTGGTTTGAATTATTTAATAGCTCCTTCCTATAGTTGCAGGGGTAGGACATGGACAGCACCCCTCCCCCTTTGCTTTACCTGTGGCAAGTTAGAGTGTTTTTGATGTTTTAAGCATTGTGCCTATTGGTCTGCAAGAGGGCTGTTTGTGAAGTTTAAGTATGTGTGGGCCGGGAGCGGTCCGAGGCCCTCGGGGGCACGCGGCGGGCTGTGGCCAGCAGCCTGGCACACGGGTCGGGGAATGCAGGCCGGCGGACTAGAATTAGGCACGGATGCTTAGCGGTTGATTAAAGATGATTTTACTTACACCGTGGATGGTCGCGGTGCAGGCAGGAAAACTTGCTTGAGTTTCAGTTACAGACAAAACAAAACAAAACAAAACAAAACTCGAACCTGCAGGGCACGAGAGTACATCGCAAGGGGTTTTCGGCGACAGGAAGACGCAAAACACGAGAGTACGTCGCAATGGGTTTTCGGCGACGGGAAAATAAACCTGCAGGACTCGAACCCGGACAGAGCTCTGGATACACTCACACGAAGTTTGCTAGGCTCCGTGGAACTTGTGCGCAGGGAAGGGGTTCGTCGAGGGATCGTTCGGCGACAGG